GCAGGACTGGAACTCGAGAGATGGTTGGTTGCCTTCCAGGCCAAGAGACCCTGGGCCGCAATGTGCTTCTTTGGTGTTTTTTGGGTTTTACGGCACCCTAAACCCTAAACCGTAGTTTCAGTGCGATTTTTTGGGCTTAGGGTTTAGATTGCAGCCTCTGCCTTCGAATACCAGCCATGGTTTAGGGTCGGGGTGTGGCGCTTATTCCCCGGCCCAAGAGCAAATTCACGTCGGGTCTGTGAAAATTGAATAGGGGCTTGGGGGCATATCATTAACATTCACGGCTTGTGGAATGAAATTTATATCTTTGCATAATGACGTGGTTTGAGGATTGTAGCAGAATGTTGTTACAAATTCTTCCGATACATATCTTAAGCCTTTTGATAGCTTGTGCACACGGTAAGAGTTTGCAAACTCAAAACGGTTCAAACCCTAAAAGCCCCCAAACCCTATAAACCCTATAAGCCCTAAACCCCTAAACCCTAAACCCCAAAACCCCTAAACCAACGTTACGCACCGTGCTACCAAGATACAATCATCTACCCTGTCCTAGCGACTCCATCGGCCCTAGGCATCGGCCCCTAAGTAGTTCCTTTTTGGGATTACCTTAGGACGGTTTAGGGTTTAGGGTTTAGGGTTTAGGGTTACCTTATAGGATTCTAAATATGAACCACAAAAAGGAATCATCATAGCCCAGATCATCTTCTCCTCATCCTCTCTCTTAATAGGTTCTCCCTCCGTGTAGATAGTAGTATCTGGAGCTACCATACACACCTCCCCTGAATCCATTAATTTTTAGCTTCTATTTCAATATGCTACTCAACACACTTTCATTTAACTAAATCAAAATCATGTAATTGTTCTTGTAAATATTTACTATCACTCTGACTATTACTATTTCTATTATAAATATTACGTAATAATAATACTATTTTGAAGATGTTAGTAGGATTCAAGGATTTGTTGAATTAGATGAAGTAGATGAACAGATTTGGTACTGGCCTATGGGTAGGCACATCCATCACTCGCCACGAATTTTTACGTAAAGAAGTGCACCCCTCTGCTTGCAGATACTGCAACCAAAAATGCTGGGGAGTCGACATCGTCGGGTAGCGACTCAAGGCTGGCTTCAAGCGCTGCGGGCCCGAACACTGTTTGCAGCAGGGGCTTCAGCGCCATGAACCACATGCAGAACTCAATTCAAAAAGATGATCGAGGAGTTGGCGCACACACCTTGTTGAGTGGTGACGTGCCTAAGCAATGTGGAGGAACCACCACACGGCATGCCGTCCTCATTACAAGCACTAAGAAACGAATCGTGCCGACACTCTGTACAACGACTTGACCGAAGTGTCGATCGGTGCCATGCTTTGCCTCCAGGGTCGTGGTGATCCCATGTGAGGGTGTAGACTTGGATTCGGCCGTGGCCAGCGACGAACACGCCGTTGGATTGGAAGTACTTCCTACACACAGCTGTCGGGCGCTGCAACTTCATTCTTTGCAGCGGCCATGTCCTGCCAGGACACAACTAACGCAAAGTACGACTTTACGGCTGAGAAACCACTGAAACAACTGCCTGGAGGCCACATTTGCAAATCTCACCCTAAACCCTAAACCTGTTATGTTAACATTGGCTTACGCCAACCTGAACTCGTCAAGGTCCCCCTCGACTCGATCTTCGCTTCAATCACATGTTGCCCTAAACCCTGAACCCGAAACAATAATGGTCGACACAGAAGTCGTCGTGATAATTAGAACCACCATAATAACAACACGCATCGTACTACTAAGAACAAACATAATCATACTGTTGATGATATAAATCCTGCATTACCTTTAAGGATCCTAAACTATGGGAATTATGGTATCCTCCTTATTATGGGTACTGCAGGGTTTATATCATCAGCCGTAGTAGTTAATGCTGACTAACAGTAGTGAATGACTACATGTCGACTCTGAGTCCTAAAATCACAATATTAAGGCCCCCATAGTTTAAGGTATATTCCTTATTTAAGGGGTATTGGGCTCTCCGCTCACACCCTCTACCCCTAAACCACGGGAACACTTGGGTCCAGAGTAGTCCACAAAATTCAGGTCCTAAACCACAACACCGAGAAACCTTGAACCTCACACCTCAAACCCCCGAGCCCTCAGCCCGCAGACCTCAAACCTCATGTCTAACCCTAAAGCCCCAAATCTTAAACCCACGATCGAAAAACCTCAAACATGCATAAAATCCGCGAGGCCTGTGCCCGGAACACCCGTAATACTGGATGGGCCCTGAACAATCATACTCGTGTTCTGGGATACATTATCGCTCAGTTAACATGGACAGTTGGGAACCATGTGTCTAGCAACCCGAAACCCTAAAGCCCTATAGTAAACCCCAGACTATTGCGACCCTTTACATTCGGTCCGTGTTGGTCTGACCGTCGACGACCTTCTCTTCCCCAATCTGGCTGCATGGCCTCGCCACAAGTGGGTTGAGGGTTTTGGGCTCGTGGTTTGAGATTTAGGGTTTAGGGCTTAGGGTTTAGGGCTTCGGGTTTCGGACTTAGGGGCATTAGGGTGTCCTGGCGCTTGCCTACAGTTTGCCTACGTTAAGCTTTCACGCGAAGTGCGAAGTGGGGTTTGGATTGCTACCATCCCCATAATCACCAACACCCAGCATGAACCCTCACCAAAATTCACAGGAGCGCTATATACACCGAAGCCTTGATATGAGCTCCACTTGCTGAATATGGTTTCGGGTATCGCAGGGTTGTTTTCGATGTAAGATATTCTGTTTTGGATGGTGATATAGAGCAAGCTTACCGTGAGGAGGCTGTCTTATTTAGGTTCATACTGCATCGTCCATACAAGTCTTTTCCCCCATATGTTTTATCAGAAGAAAAAATAAATTTGTCCAATCAACCCTTTAAATCGCACGATGTCATGAAAGATATTGGAGCCCGCTGAGTACTAACCTGGTGCTGTAAAGGCCCGAAAACAGGATCCTTTTTTCTATTCGGTTCGTGTAATCAAGTGCAACTATGGCCCAACAGCTTGCTGCACAAAGGGCCGCAAACAAAAACAACACAAGAACCCACTAGAGGGGTCCTGATGATTTAACTGGAGCCTGGGGGTAATATTTTAGAGCAAGCACATCAAGGGACCCTTGAGTAGAGTGTAGGCATCAACCAGGTTCTTATATAAAAGAGTAGCTCTCTAAATTAGGGTCCTTTTTTTAGGGTCCCGTTTAGAAGGGTGCCGTTCTATCTAATTTAGGGAACTACCCATATCGCTCATCCGAATGGGGGGGGGCGTGGCTGCCGAGGTGAACGGGAGAAGTGTTGAATACTGCGAAGGTCGAAATACTAACTTCCCCGGTTGAGAGTTTTGGAGTACAGCTTCTTTACGACAGCACGAAACACCCTAAACCCTAAAAACCCTCAAGCCCTAAACCCTAAACCCCTAAACCCCTACACCCTAAACCCCAAACCCCTAAATCCTTAAACCCTAAAGCCCTAAACCCAAAAGAGCCCAAACGAAGTAGAGGTCCTAGTCTTAAGCCCTGCGCCCAAAACCTAAACTGCAGATTTCTAGGGCCTCCTAAACCCTAAACCCTAAACTCCTAAACCCTAAAACCCTAAAACCCTAAACCCAAAACCCCAAACCGGGCCTGCCGACCCAAAACCTAGAGCCCCATTGAACCCAAAGCCCAGGGCCGCATCCCTAGCGCAGGGACCCACCAGTGCTGTTTTCCCCCTAGAACACCAACCTGTAGGGTTTAGGGAATTAGGGGATTAGGTTTTAGGGGTTTAGGGTTTAGGGGTTTAGGGTTTAGGCGTTTAGGGTTTAGGGGTTTAGGGGTTTACGGTTTAGGCTAGCCCCGAGAACCCAAACCCTCCATCCCACACCCTAGGTACTGCCAAGAATGCACACGGTGGCCTTCCCGAGGGTTGGCCCACTCCCAAGATTGTAAGGAACCTACTGAAGATGACACAACAACTCAAGACCCCAACTCCTTAGAACCCCTAAAACATCTCGGACCCCTAGCCCTAAACCCTAAACCCTAAGCCCTAAACCCCTAAACCCCCAACCCTAAACCCTAGGTTGGATAAAGTTTTAAAGTGCCAGGCCTGCCGATGACCGGCTCAGCTCCACCAGCAACCGACGTCTCCCGAAACTTCTGAAGCTGCCCCTGCGCGGGTTGGTAACCAGAGTCTACGCTACGCACTATAACTTGAATTCGGAATGTGCTAACCCTATAGCGCCTGGGAATTATGGTGTTGGAGGTTAGAATCTGGGGAGCTCAGATGCATCTGTTTGGCGGCTTGGGCTTTGGGGCTTTGGATTTAGCTTAAAGATTAGTTCGGGGTTCTAGTGCAGGGTGTTGAGGGGTTCTGAGCAAAGCCTTCCTTCTTTTTGCGCTAAGGAAAAATATGGTGAGGTTATTGGGTTCGAGCTGTAGGAAATCCTGGTCATTAGGTTCAGGCTTCGAAGGGTTTAAGGTTTAGGGCGTAGGGTTTAAACCCTACGCTCTATGTTCTAGAATTCAATGCCCATGCAGGGGTGCTCATCAGAGTAGATTGCTTTTGATGCAAATGCTTTGAAAGGCCACAACGCGGAACAGCACTACCCAGAACTCCTTAGCACAAGTACAAAAGCCTGAGCCGTCTTGTGGCTGCGCTGAAGCTTAGGGTTTAGCTCGTCACGTGGTTTCTGTTTTCAGGCCCGGGCCCGTAACAATCCCTAAACCCAAAACCCTCAAAACCCTAAAAACCCTAAACCCCAATTAAACCCTAAATCCCTAAAGCCCTAAACCCTAAACCTTAAGACAATTTGATATGTACTTGAAGCCTCGAGGCTGGTGTTCTTCACTTGGGGTCGGGTTAGGGGTTCTGCGCTCTCTGGACTCAGGCTCTAAGGTAAGGTTTAGTTTTTTTGTTGTGAACTCCTTTTCGGGCAGGGTTTAGGGTTTAGGGTTTGGGGGTGTTTGAGGGGTCATTTCGAGCGGCCTTCTTGTGGCATTGGCGGCAGGCAAGCGTGGCGAGGACCGTGCTGCATCCGAACACCACGGCCCCGGCCAGTAGCAGCCAGAAGCCGACCTTTTGGTTCGTGATTTTGGGTGGTTTAGGGGTTTAGGGGTTTAGGGGGTTATAGGAGTTTAGGGGGGTTTGGGGGTTTGGGGGTTGAGAGTTTAAGGTTTAGGGTTTAGGGTGGTGCTGTAAATGAGGATTTAAGGTAGCTCCCTAAATTCGGGTCTGTTCAGGGGATCCATAAGGGTACTATAAGGATTCTATATGCGAATATGGGCGGTTCTCTTAATCAGGGTTTCGTTTTATGTCCCCAAGCTAGTATGAGAAGGATCCTAAGGGGGCCCTCAACCTAGAGAACTACACATCTGTTTTTGCAGTCGCTCGTTTTCATCCCTGCCGCAAGGCATGCTGGAACATCCCTGGATGGGGCCACTTAGACATTTCCAAGTTGCATGCTGGGTGCTTCATGCAATGGCAATGGCGCAAACCAAACCCTCAACCCGCAAACTAACATCACATATGCCCGAACCTACTACTTTGATGGCTTCAGGGTCTGAGGGTTTTGGGCTTTTGGGGTGTGAGGTTTTGCAGTAATCAGTATCCTGTTTGGTTTACAGTTCGCACGTTTTCAGGAGACGGATGGGGAACCCGCAACTGGCCACCCTGTACTAGTCCTCGCTTGCAGCTCATCCTATCCGAATCGTGCAAGGCTTCATGCAAGTCGCAACAACTTCAGCCGTGTTTTGAAACCATGCATTCACATGGGCACAATACCAGTCCGAGTGGTACTCACATCCCCTGTTGCATTCGGAGGCCTCGTCGTGCGCGGCCTCCATCCATGGGACATCGACGGCCTTAAGAGCGCAGAAAGGCACATGGACCCTAAACCCTAAACCCTAAAGGATCTCAGAATCAAGAGTTTCTGGCAACAACCGTAGTTTTGGGGGCCCGTGCACCGCGAAGGTCGTGCCTGCTTAGGCCCCTAAAAAACATAATAACAATAATGATACTAATAATAATAACGCTAATATTAATTAATCTTATTATACTTATAATTATACAATAATTATAATAACAACAATAATAACAACAACAACTAAGTCATGATGCTCCACCCTGTTGGACATCACAGCAGGCTTGGTCGAAGGAATTTGCTTCAACGGTTTAAGCCAGCCCGTGTTTACCCAGTACATGTTTGCACATCTCACCATTTTCGGAACTGCTTGGTTCGACAGCTTAAGTAAACATGTGTGGGCACGGTGCTTAAACATGTATATTTATGCTGACAGGCTTCATGCTTTAAGGGCAGAAAAGAACAGAAGCTGAAGCCCATATATGCTGCGATAAACTTCATAATGGCCGCGAGACGAACATCCTTGTGACAGTATGGCTTCGTAAGGGTTTGCGCCACTTCTCCTTTCAACCTCATAGTTCAATGTTCACGTCACATATCCTGCCCTCTGCGTCCCGAAGCTCTGGCCAAGACCTGCTCACCTACCCTGCCCGGACCCTGTCAGGACCTCACTCAGCCTCTCACAACGAATTCAAGTGTCCTTGCAATTGGACCGTGCTTGAACGTGTTTGGGCTCAAACCCCATAGACGTCTAGGAGAGTATAGCAGAGGGCCTCCTAGGACAGCACTCAGCCCCTCACGGACATTTCACCTCTTCTTCTGGAACGCTTGGAAGTGACTGAACTCGCGGCGGTTAAACTTGTTTAAACCCAACGTTCTCTACTAGCAGCACCTCCCAGTACTTCACTCGGCCTCTCGCAAAAGTCACGTCTCCTGGTATGTCTAAATGCGCTTAAACACACGGTGTTGCGTTTGAACATGATTGAACACCCAGAGAAAGTCCTGCGGGTTTCGCTCTATAGCCAGGTCGTGCGGCGATTTTTAAACGCTGACACCACTGCTTAAACATGCTTAGCAATGATTCTGAGGAGGATATTTGCACAGATGCAGTTCTGCCAGTGGTGTCAGAAACATTACACAGATTTACGTATTCGATAATCCCAGATCTCCGATAGTTGTTTCAACACGTCTATGTTTAAATGGCTTAGAATTTAACCATGTTTCGCCCATCCCTGCATCTTGAATCAACGTTTTGGTGGACAAAGGGTACAGAATCATGAAGGCACCGCGGCAGGCAGAGACAGCATGTTGCGAGCAAAAGCATGCTTATCCAGGGGCCTCTGTCCGGTATTTAGGTGGTGCTAGACTAAGGCCACTATAGGAGTCGTTATCATGTGGATCACCCGCAACTCAAAAACACATCTATGGTACGTTTATGGTCCCTCATCTTCAGAAGCTCCGATCTGGAGAAGTTCCAACACAAGGACTAACCCCACAGACAGTTCCTGGCTTTGCTGAGCCAAGGGGCGGCGGGACAGCTGCTGGCGTCGAAGTGCGTGTTGGCTTCGAACATATTCAGCGCCCCCGATGTCGCAACCAGTCTCAATGTCAGGTCAGCCTGCTCGGTATTGCCGCACGTGAGGAGTGCGAAGTGCCAATCTCGAGCAGCCGTCGTCTGATGGATGTTGATACCTTAGTAGCTGAGCCCTGAACCGCAACGGGTTAACCTTATACCCTAAACCCTAAACCCTAAATCCTAAACACCATATATATATATATGCCCAAAACGTCAAAGGCCACCTACTCATCCAGAAAGATACGGAAGTTGAAGTTCTTCTGGTCGTGATTCTCTCCGAGCTGGCGCTTCATGTTCGCGGCACTCAGCTTCTCGTCGCAGGTCATCTGGCCCCACGAGTCCTTCTCCGTTGCGCTTTTCAGAGGCCAACAAAAGTTCCAGCTTTCCGTTCTCAAGAGCTATATATATATATATACACACACATACACACCGTATATACCGTGTATATATATATATGCATACATACATCGGTATGTTGTGCAACGTATGTAGTATATGATATATACATATACACATACCATATACATATTGAGTATATACAGTATCTACTATATATATATATATGTATAGAAAATATAGTATAAATGCACAGTAGCGGGTGTATATATAGTATATATAATATGTATGTCTGTCTGTCTGTCTGTCTGTCTGTCTGTCTGTCTGTATGTATGTATGTATGTATGTATGTATGTATGTATGATTATGTATGTATGCATGTATGTATGCATGCATGCATGCATGCATGCATGTACGTATGCACGTAAGCAAGCATGCATGGACGTATGCATTTATGTACATTTGTACCTTTATTTATACCAAACAAATTTTTAAAGGGTAATTCTACGCCCGAAAGGTCAAAGTTGACCAACTCAGCCACGAAGCCTTGACGGCTCCCCATCGATCCTCGCGAGCATCGAAGGCCACGAGCATCACGGGCCCAGTGGCCCACAGTTGCTGCTTTCCGGCCCACTCCACTTCGGCTCTGATCTCCGCCGCCTTCGGTGTCTCCGGATCCGCCTGGCCGAAGCAAAAGCCACCCAAATGCCAAGCACCGTTGGTCTTCAGGGTCATTGATGCCTCCAGCTGTCCCGGAGTTGCCGAGAAGGTCTCGGCCCCAACAAGCGCTGGCAAGGCGAGCATGCTGCAAACACGGTAGAGGGCCATTTCGTGGTACGAGTGGCACGGGTCCCTTTGCGACGATCGTCACCTACACTTCGGAGCACAAACGCTTCGAAGACTCAGCCGGCTACATTGTCGTATCGTTTTGTGCGGTGAGATGTATGTGCATGAGCGACCGCTTCTCAACGTCTGAATCTAACGAGACGGCAACTTTCCACAGTCCACGACTACATGCATGGCTCCCGGAACCCTAAACCCTAAACCCTCCTCTTCCAGCGATCGTCGCTCTGAGCGCAACTTCTGGGTCCTGGGCAGTCAGCGAAGGCTTGCTGAAAACGCGACACAGAACAAGGAACAGCTGCAGCAGAAGTAATGTAGAGGCCTAAATAATTACCAATACTAGTTTGGGAGCTCCTTAATATGATTCTGGTATAATGGACCCCAAAAACCCTCTTCTAATTGTTAAGGCCCCTATATTAGCAGCTACGAATATCAGCAGCGAGTCGAAAGCAGTTGCAGCAACAATAACAGCAACGGCGGCAAGACCACAAACATTGCCGCCGAGTGCGACCGCCGACCACCACGACCACCACACCACCACCAGCACCGCCACCAGCACCGCCAGCAGCAGCACCAGCAGCAACACCAGCAGCAGCACCAGCAGCAGCACCAGCAGCAGCACCAGCACCTCCACGACTACGACGACGACGACCACCAGCACCA